GAGACTATTATTTATTAGTGTGTTTTTTTGAACCACTTTTTCCACTACTTATTTTTTGTATGCAACACTTACGACACGATTCGCTCACAAAATGAACGGATGTACGTCATAAATAATGATAAATATTTTGAAATACTTTTTTTATATATGTTCACTTGATACTACCAAATGGTACTTATAATTATTTTATAATAAAAGAAAATTATGACCATTTTCATTTATTTATAAAACTGCTGTAACCTTGGCCCAAATCGGTCATCATATTATTTAAAAAATCAAAATCATTAAATAATCTTTATTATACCCACTATATTTCAAACAATTCCTGTGTTGAAACTTTTATAAAGTACTGACTAATTACCGTACTTTATATATACTTATAAACAGATAAGAACTTATCTGTTTAAAAGTTATAAATGTTTCTATTTTTAGAATATTGATGCTCTTATTTCTCATAAAAACAGGTAAAAGGTGTGAGTTAAACATTTATCTTTATATATTATATATTGTATATTATACGTTGTATAATACAATAAATACATACATATATATGTTTATTTATAATATATTATATTTGAATTTTTAAATATGTACATATACGTTGAAATAAGCAAACGAATTACGCTGTCGATGTACCCTGCCGAAGTCAGGATGGCCTCAGGATGCCTGATTGTGTATTTTTTTTAATATTAAAGTTTACTCATACGCTACCGTAACTAGTACTTTAGTGACTAAATCAACCTAATTAGAAATAATTTAGAATATTTTTGACTCTTTTTAAAAGATTTGTGCTACACCAAAATAAATAGAATATAGTTACGTTATTTTCCTACAGAAAAATACTAAAACAATTTACTGCTTAGTGTGATGAGAAAAAGACATTGTAGGTTGATAACGGCATATAAATAGACATGCATCGATATTTTTAAAATGTCGATACGTCGTCATCGCACTTACTATAACCCGGCAATCTCGTGCGCGACCGTCCCGCGGGGTGACAGACAGTGGCGGGGGCGAGGTAGCGCGTCATTCTAGCACACGGCTACACACGATTCCCTTCCCCGCTACACCACCCGCTACCCACCGACATCGTGAGTACCTCGTCCCCGCCACCGTCTGTCACCCCGCGGGACGGTCGCGCACGACGTTGACGGACTATAGTCTTGTCGTTTGACACTTACACGCATGACTTACTATGTATTTGTATGTTTAGTATTGTGTATTCTACATAAGTAATTATACTTAAATAGAAGTCCAGACGTATACACAATATATTATATATATATATATATATATATATATATTATTAAATTATTAAATATATGTAGCAATGTATTTCTGTATATTAGTAATATCTAATGTAGGTTTTCCTCTCATCTACGAAACTATTATGAACTAACACAAATTTAAAACTTTGTCTTTGCACCTACCGCATCGTATTTCTGCACCACTTGAAGGTCGAATGGGAGAAAATGCCTCATGGTATTAAGTCCGCCTTTGTAGAACATGTGCATTAAGTTTTCAATAAGTAAATAAATATAGTGATATATACATGTATACATGTATCAAAGGGAGATTCAAACTTTTACTTAGAACTATGTATTATTGGCATATCCACTTTCTTATACTTATGAGTTATTCAGAGATTTAAATTGAACCAATTTAAATTTGTACATGACGCTTTTAATTAAAAGCTGTATTTTTATCATTTTGGCAGACAACGACAACGAATTACAAATTTGTAAAAAAACTTACAAACAAACACGTTTACAATGACTTATTTTGTTAGCATTCTACGGATTCACCGTGCGGGTGCCGGGTCCATCGCGGGATAGATGGGGGCAACACATGCGACTTCGACAGCGGCTGGAAATTGCGACCCAGGAATAAGTTTACGGAGTACTCCTTGCGATGCGTCAGCGCTCACCTCCACTGTCTGATGTGTTTTCCCTTTTACCTAACCATATTTGATACTATACGACAGCAACGCCGCTTTGGATATTCGTTTAAAAAAAGAGCTCATTGAAGCTCTTGGCAATCCAAGGTTTTTAAGCAGGTTATAGGGGGATTTAGCTGGTATACCCACTTCCATGACATACAACGCAACGAAATAATCATATTTTTAGTTATTTCGTTGGTTAAGACAAGTGGTCTCTTTTAGGGCGGGAATGCTAGTACGGACCCAGATGTGGATAGGCTCCTGGTTCGGTCTCTGGTCTGCCTTGAGATATGTGAGGGTCAACTCTATAGGTAGCAGCAATTGACGTCTGTCTTACATCAATGCCTTACAGCAATGTATTTTGAAATGTTTTAGGAACCAGGCTCTTTTCTTGTACTGTTTCCCACACGTGAAGCATCTCACATCCATTGTCTCGCCGGGGTTGTAGGTGTAATCTTTTGATGGACAGTTCTACAGTCCGGTAAAGAAATATACCCCTATATATATATTATTATATTAGTATATTTCTTTACCGGACTTTTAGCTTTTATTGCTTGCTAGGCCATTGCTCTCGGCTGTCTTTAAAGCAGTCAACTCTCTGTATCAATGAATTGGCAAATTGTGTAAATACTTTGTTTTGTCATGTAGTATATCATCTATGGATTGCAAATTGTTGTCAAAAATGAGTTAAACATTGCATTGGAACTTTTTTGTGAACAGTCTGCGAACTTTACATTTAAAAATTTGAAAAATGGAACAAATATTTGAAAGTTACAAAATTTAGCTGAATGTTAGGGTTTATATCCCTCTATCGTCGTATGTCGAGAAAACAAAACTAGCAATTGATGAATAATTATACTAGGACGTATAGTGTTAAAAAGAAAATTTGTAATTAAAACCAAATATAATTTATTAACCAACCAACTGTTTACATTATTTTACAATTAATTATACTTCCAAATATATTTATAAAACCCCTTCCATCTAACACAATCCTATTTTTATCCATCCCTATTTGGAACAATCCAATCCATGAACAAACCTAACGCTTATAGGAGTTTTCACTGAAGCTAAATGTCAAAGATATAGTCTCAATCCGAGCTTGTGATGGTAGCTTGAGGACTTGGTTGTTGTACGTTGCCCGATATTGCTGGATATAATTTGATTGTACTCTCATTCAAGCGAAGCACCTCTGCCAGCTTAATTCTCATAGCGTGGTATAAATAACGAGTTCACGCTATTTTATTTTTGAAGTCCCGTCATCTATTGTTTGGTGATAGCAATCCTGATAAACTTCTGTTTCTTTTCGCCGCCGACTGTTTTGTAGGTTTCCGTGGAGGTGCCTGGGCAACGTATCTACTTAGTACTTGTTGATTAGACAAGTTGGCACCGCCGATAATTTGACTATTTGGAGCAGGGATAGCATTAGGTCCATTCACCATTACCCCATTATTCCCGGAAGTTCATGGCTGTATAACCACTTGCAATCTTTTTCCTTAGGTAGGTATAGAATGCTTGAGTAGCTCGGTGGGTTGACCATTGTTCCGTTACTATTGTTGGGAAAGCACTGTGCACTGGGTAGACTCTTTGATGGCATTGGTTTTAATTTGTATATTCGTTGACACTGGTGCAATGTTTGAATCAGTAACTCGTTTCATGGCAGGGCCTATAGAATAAAGAAAAAAATAATATGAATGTCATGTGAATAAATCACTCTAAATAACAGTTTTTCATAGTATAGGGGGCAAACAAGCAGACGGGTCACCTGATGGTAGTGACTTACCATCAGGTGGCCCGCTGTCCATAGACACCTGTAACTCAAGATGTACAAGCGAATGCGCTTGTGCATCTTGAGTTACGAGTGGTGGCTAAACCTTGCCGGTGTCCAGCTAAACCTAACCGGAGTTACCTACTCCGGTAAAAAACACCGGTTTTGCATGGCTCTCCCACACTAACTTTATTTAATGTTTATTGTTTTTAGAAAATGTTAACATTATCTTCAATTTAAGAATCCTACTTTCAAGTAAATGTAATGAATTCATCTATTGTACCTACCTAGTTCTTTACTGTGACATAAGATACCAAAAAAAAACATCTTTATGAAATCTACCATAGAAAGACCAGATACCAAAGTTTCACACAATATGACTGAAGCAGAGGTAAATAAGAAAATTTTACTCATTACTTTCCTATAAATTAAAAAATAAAGAAAATAAATTACCAATGAATCCAGCATAGTATCACTAAAGATGTCTTGTTGCTAGTCCTTGTAGGTGCCTGGGACACGTATCTGCTTAATGTTTGTTGATTATACCAGTTGAGGACGATAATTCTTCTATTTACCTTGGACTTGTTGCACTGTTACTGGCATCTTTACTGCTGGTACCTGAGCAATATCCATGCTCAGGAAGTAACATAGGCATTGGAGACGGATTCATACCCGAAGATTGCAATACCGTCGTTTATTCGCATTCTTCGAGACTTTCTGCTTTGTCTTTCTTATCCTTTTTGCGACGGTTCTAAGACCTTATTTTGATAGTTCTTTCATTCAAGCGAAGCACCTCTGCAAACTCAATTCTCCTGGCGCGGCCTAAGTAATGAGTGTTTGCGTTCTAGTTCAATCATTTGTTGACTGGTGAAAGCAGTCCTGTAATATTTCTGTTTCTTTCTTTCCTTTTTGTTTTTAATCCATGTAGGTGCCTCTGACGGGAAAGTTTCCCTCGCGATTTGTGGGCTTGCCGCCCTCTCCACATTGGCAGATCCAATGGATCGCCGAACGGAGCCACCCTACAACGCCGGGGACCAACGGCATGCCGGGGGCTGCTAAACTCCGCAGAAGACTGCGTTGTTCACCTCTATAGCATCAGCATTTCACCGAGAGAATACTGGGACCACTGTGGAGTAGAATTAGAACAGCTCTCCGTCACTGCTTTACTGTGTAGAAACGGACTCCCCAATCCATGAAGGTGCCTAGGAAACGTATCTGATTTGTGCTTGGTGATAAGAACAGTACGCGCCACCGAAAGTTTGACTTTTTGGAGCACGTCTACGGTTGGTTGTTTTATGTTGCAGGATATTGCTGGACTTGAAAGTTTATTTGCTGGTACTGTTGCCATTCACCTTCATTGCATATATTTCCATACTCTGGATATGTGTTCTGAAGTAACGATGGGCGTTGTTGCACCGTTGCAGGCATATTTATTGCTGACACCTGAGCATAATCAGATGTTGTTGGCATATATTCCATATACATATCCCCTTGATCATAGAAATTATTTGGAACACTTGGATATTGCTCATGAGTTAACATATTCATTTGAACACTACTCATATCCGGAGCTAGTTCCGTTATTGTAGCTTCTTCGCATTCTTCGCCACTTGCAGTTTTATCTTTTTTCTCCTTCATACGGCGGTTCTGAAACCATATTTTAATGGTCCTCTCATTTATCTGAAGCACTTCTGCAACCTCAAGTCTCCTAGAGCGGTCTAAGTAACGATTTTTCGCGTATTCTTTTTCTAACTCTACCATTTGCATAGTGGTGAAAGCAGTCCTAATACGTTTCTTTACGCCCCTGGATGTTTTGTTGTTAGTCAACGTAGGTGCCTGGCAAACGTATTTCCTTAGTTCTTGTTGGTTTGACCAATTGGCACCACCAACAATTTGATTGTGTGGATCAGGTATAGCATTAGGTCCATTTATGATTGGCTCATTAATCCTTTCACAGGAGTTCATGGCTGTATGGCTGTTTGAAATCAAAGGCCTCAGGTACGGCATGTTCGGGTAGCTCGGTGGGTTAATCGGTACTCCATTTTTATCGCTGGGGAAGAACTGGACACTGGGTATGCTATTCATTAGCATTACTGAATTATTAGTTGACCCTGATACAGTTGTTACTAGTGCGCTTAGCAGTGGTGCGGTTGGCACTGATGAGGTAGGCACTGTTGCAGTTGGTAAAAGTGGGGTTGGTACTGGTGCAGTTGGCAATGGTGCGGTTGGCACTGGTGCGGTTGGCACATGTGCGTTATTCGTTGACACTGGTGCGATGTTTGGAATCAGTGACTCGTTCCATGGCATGGGCTACAAAAAATAAGGAAAAATATTTATGAAAAAATCTAATCTTTATGAAAATAACTTAATTAAGAGGGTAAACGAACTAACGGGTAACCTCTTGGTAAGTGACTACCACTGCTCATAGACACCTGCATCACAATATATACATGCGTTGCCAGACCTGCCAAGAATTAAAGGAAGAATAGGTGATATCTAAACAGGCAGTTACCGGTTTCGCAAAGCTCTCTTACCGCTCTTTTTATATTAAGTTTGTAGTTTGTGTAAATATAAATACAAAATAGGGTTAAAAAGTATATGCAAAATAAATTACCAATGAATCCAGCACAATATCCTCAGTGATTGGCTCGAGTTGGCTCCACGAACAACAACTCCCGTTACTCGATCCGGTGGTTCCTTTGTCAGAAGTTGACGGTGAAGACTGACCCGATTTAGTCACAGGCATGTCGATAACTTATTAATAAGAAGTAACGTTCACTCTGAAAGCTGAAGAGCTTATGTCGAATTTCGCCATTTCTTTCATATTTATATACCATTGGGCCTCAAGCCAATGGTGATTAGTTAACTAGTTAAGAGTTAGATTCTACGATTACACACTTGGTGATTAGGGTTGTTATCAATATTTATCGATGCACAAAATAGTTTTTAGAAGTAATATTAAATAGTTTTATTATTTATACATAGTTAACTAAAATAGATATTTGCAGTTAAAGTTTCTAATAACATCTAAGACGTGCCGTGGTTGTCAGTAAGTAATACAATGTAGTTATTGTGATTTTATGCTAAACTCCTTGTAAATAACAAAAATACGGCAATTAAATTATAAATGGTCACATTTATAATTAAATTTCAGTATTTAGCTCTTTTTCTCTTTACCTGTAGTGAGTTCAAGTGCTTCATAAAAAAATCTGAACCGAAATAGTTATGACTACTTTAGTAGTACAGTAGCCATTTACTTTTCGCTGACTACTTAAAAACTTTATCTCATTAGTAGATAAAAACATTACAAGTTACAACATAATAATAGAAATATATATATATATAGGTACCTCTAAAACATATAGTATAACAATTACAATACAATAGTATTATATTTTCTCATATAGATAAATCAGCCTTCACAAGCACTCCTCAAAAATTCAACAGGATTTTTTGTTAGGTGGAGTGAAAAACCTCTCTAATCATACTCTTAGTGGTACTTCTGAAGTTTAGAGTGGACATCTTGGCTGTACAATAAGTTTGTAACTGATCTAAATTTAAACTTAGCACAAAGCTATATACTAAATATAATCAGTACCTACCAGTACTGTAATGAATAATTAAATGTAATAAGTTTATGTCGTGTTAGCTACGCGACACTTATGTCATTCGTTAGTTATATGTATTTAAAGCTTTTCTGGTTGATCTATAGTTTATTGTTTACTACTCATAACATAGTACTAACTTACGTAAGTTGTCATTAGATATATTTAAAGTTATCAAGCTCAGTTTCTTTAATTCGAGCCCCAGATCTTTTGAACTTTTATTAAGTTTTCTATTGAAATAATATTTCTCTTAAAACAATATCAAGCATAGGTACAAGTATAAAGTGTAAGTAAAAACGTATATAATTGTTAATCTTCATTCATATCTCGTATTTGATTTGAACATATATCTAATACAAGTTTTTAGTAAGTAGTTTTAGTACTCGCTTCATTACTTAAATATAAGACAGTCTGTGCTGGATTTGTTTTCATAAACATGTATTTTTGTCACCGATTCTGAAAAGCAATAACTTTTAAATTTTATAAGGTGAATAAATATAAAATGAGTAAAATAATGTATACAATGTAATAAGTAATGCTTTGCTATTTTACTACAACAGCTCTTCTAAAATTTGTAATAAATATTTGTAAGGCATACGTATTTTAAGGTGCGCATTACTTAAATACTTCATTATCGAATAATTATTATTATTGCCTCAAATGTTTTTTTGGAGTATGCATGAAATCTTCCCTCCTCTGAGAAAAATAATTTAAAAAGCTCCTATGATTCTATATTTTGCATTTCGAATTATTTGAGAATAACCAACCTGACTTACTACGTTTCAGGTTTTAATAATCATTCATAATATGGGACTGTGACGTATCCAACTACTTATGACTAACCATTCCAAATCGCTTACATTCTGTACTTAAATTTATTTCGAAACCATCATGTAATTTACTAATTGTAATTGAACCAATACTTTGGTGGTACCGTAGTTAGATAATCTAATATGAGGTTACCATTTTGAGAACACCGGTATTTTCATAGCGCTAATAGGTACTATTCGAAGTGTTGACCCAATGTTTTTAAGATAATAATATTAATAAAAAAATCTATTCACCAACAGTCCTGTGTTTAAGATTACGGTTAGATTAGCACTTTGGTGTAGTGGTTACTGATCATGACTGCAATGGCAGAGGTCGTGGGTTCCATTCTCACCCAGGGCATTTAATTGTGTAACCAGCACAACAATTTTGTAACGAAGTTCCTTATAACGAGTTACACTCTTGGAGCGGATGGTAGCGAGAGCAATAAATGAGCAACAAGACTTTTTTCTGACCCTATAGCAAACGTTTTCAAAAAGCAAAAGGAACTTCGTTCCCAGCGGGGTCCATAGACCCCTCACGCCGATTTTTTTGTTCTGTCTGGGTGTTTTTAATCCATAATATGTATATATTTAGAAAAGTGTAAGTATTTTTATCAGCTGTCTGGTTACCATAGCACAGGGTCTCCCTAGTTTGGTATTAGATGGCCTTGTGTGAGGTTATTGTTATAATTATTATAGTGTTATTGTTAAGTATCCCCCTACACAGGTATTTCTCCCAAATATACACTTTCCCTGCCATCGGTTGAGAGTTTGGAAATATGCTTGGAAATGGAACGTGCTTGGAAATAATTTATCCTCATTTGTATCCAGAAATATATAAGTACATTTCCTCTTTATGTCTGTATTTAATTTTTAATTGACATGGACACTGGTGCTAATTCTGTTGTTAAAAAAACTCTCTAAACTAAACTGAAAATCGCTAAAAGTTAGTTTAGTCCTGTCCAGTATATCTTTTTCAGAATAATTTCTTATTTGTTGTTTGACAGAACTAAACATTTTTTTTGTGGTTTTCAGTTTAGTTTAGAGAGTTTTCAAACAACAGAATTATCACCATCGTTCACTTAAAAGTAATTAGCCCTACAAAAAGTAAATAACATTATCATCAATTCTAGTGGGTCAAGATATTTTACCTAAAATAAGATAATACCATTAGAGTATACAAAAGAGATAACATTTAAAATGAAAGATTTGTTTGTCAAGCGCGTAAACAGTGGACATGTTTAATTAGGATCCTTAGTGAAGATATTGTTCTTAATTCTAAAATATGGGGTCTACCAATAAGAACGTCCTGGTTTAAAAATTGAATAAAACACACATTTTTTATGAAAAATGCATCCGATTGATTTATGTGATAGATAATTTTATACAATTTATGTTTTAAATAATATATCGGCCAAATGACCGCCGCGGCTCTTTTTGCAGACGGTCACCCGCTCACGCCAATTTTCGATGACGCGGTGCACCATTTCGACCGGTATGTCGGCTATGGCTCGTAGAATGTTGGTTTTTAGGTCACGAATTGTAGCTGGATTATTGCTGTACCCTTTAGATTTAACGTAACCCCAAATAAAATAGTCCAAAGGTGTTAAATCACACTATCTTGGTGGCCAACTGATCGGTCCATTTCTCGAAATTAACAACTCACCAAACTTTCCACGCAATAATTCCATGTTTACTAGAGTAATGTGAGGTGGTGCTGGTGGTGGTTCCCCAGCTATTAGTACCCGAGACGAGTCCGACATGCCACCGATAGGTGGTATCCGAGGGGATTTCCGCAAGGAAAAAAAAAAAAAGGTTGTGCACCGTCTTGTTGAAAATAAAGGTCGTCTGCATCAATATCATCAAATTCCGGAAAGAAACATTCGGTTAACATCGAGTTATAGCGCTGGCCATTCACAGTAACAGGGACTTTCAAAGAAGTACGGACCAATGATTCCACCGTACCATAAACCGCACCAAACTGTTATTTTTTGCGGATGCAATAGTGATACATGAACCACATGTGGATTTGACTCACTTCAATAGCGACAATTTTGTTTATTAACAAATCCATTGAGCCAGAAATGGGCCTCATCTGAGAAGAAGATTTTACGATGAAAATCGTAATCGGCTTCCATCATTTCCAGTGCATAATTGGCAAATTCACGACGGATACAATAATCGGATGGGTTCAATTCTTGTGCCAAAACAATTTTGTATGAGTGTAGGCCCAAATCCAACCGCAAAATACGCCAGGTGGTCATTGGAGAGAGCCCCAACTCTTGTGAACGGTCGAACTGATCGATTTGAATTCGCATCAACACTGGCCTGAACGGCTGCGATATTCTCTTCACTACGGGCATTTCTTTGTCTTACAGGCACAGCAGTATCGTGTAGAGTGAATTCACTTTAAAATTTTGTTATTATGCGATTTATAGCGCGCACAGAAGGAGCACTATGACGACCGTTTTTTGCGCGAAGCGCTCTTACTGTAGCGGTAGGAGAACGCGAATTTGCCTAATAACTATGGATAATTTACAAGCGTTGGTTTAAAATGAAACGTTACATGATAAAATGGCAAACCTTACTGAACACATTTGTCAAGAGACGTCAAAGATCCATCATCAAACATGGTCGCTATGAGCTGTCAAAACCAGGTCATCCCTGTTGGTAGACCCAGTATATTCTTGACTTACAAGACTACAATATAAGAATGGAAGAGTTGTTCGGTTAATCATATTTTATGATATTCATATGTAGTATGAATATTCATCATGAGTTTTGGGTTTCGACCACCATTTCTTAAGTAGATCTTTACTTATTTAAACTCCACATAAATCTTTGAAGTCTGGGTGTATTCTATGCAAGACGTTTGTAAACAAATAAACATGATTCGTATTAACTATCCCGCAACACGGTAAGTTGTACTTATTAGTCAAGTTAGCGCTAAACATGTATGAGCGCTGTCCCTTTCACTCATATTGCCAATGCCAGAGATTGCTGGTTCGAACCCTACCCAGAATAAATAATTGTGTTATTCTTTTCTTGGATAAACTTTATCCTCTTTTGTACCTAGAAATACATAAAGTACGTTTCATCTTGCTGTCTGTGCATACATTTTCAAAAGGTATGGACACTGTTTACATAAATGTAGTTAGCACTACAAACTATTAATTAAACTAAACTAAACTATCCGTATGGTGACGGATTAAAAACGCGGAGTGTCACCACCTTTATTCGTCCCATGGGTGTCGTGAAAGCCGACTAAGGTAGCAAACTACGTCGAACAACAGATACAAGGAGGTCTGACGTCTCCCAGGCTCTTCTATCAC